TTAGGTTGGATATTAGGGAAAATTTCTTCACACAAAGGGCTGTCAGGTGTTGGAACGGGCTGCCCAGGGAGGTGGTGGAGTCACCATCCCTGGAGGGATTTGAGATGTGTAGATGTGGTGCTCAGGGACATGGTTTAGTGGTGGCCTTGTCAGCACTTCATGGTTAATGGTTGGACTTGATGATCTTAAAGGTCTTTTCCAACCTAAACGATTCTATGATACTATGAATTTCCCATTTTCTGCAGTTCTGTCTGACTCGTACATTGAAGATGCCTAGAAACATCCAGTCAGTGGTGCTTCTCCAAAGCAATCACAAATTGAGACTAATTCTTGATGGGAGAACTGACTGGGACCTGGTGATGAGTTCTTGGGAGCTCAGGCACAGGCACATCTGCTATCCAACAACTTAAAGCTCTGCCTTTATAACCTGCATGAGAGCCAAACAGATCTAGGAGAACAGCACAGCTGTGGCTGGGAAAGGATGCAGAGAAGGGAAGGAGCACACACATTTACCTGCCTCCAAAAGCAATGACAGGGCAGTCTTCAGCATTGTATTGGTGCTTAAGCTCAGTAATCAGTACTGCATAGTCAGCGAGGGCCTGTTCCACAGTAAGCAGACCAGTCTTCTTCAGCTGTGTTGACTCAAGTCCAAATGGAAGAGACTTCCCATAGTACCTCTGAAAGGAAAGAGATAAGCTATGGAAATGCTGGTGTCAAGGTCTGGGGCTTCTTTGTTCTCACTGCAGAACTGGTGTAAGTGTGCACAAACGGGAAGCGGTAACAGAGCGTTTGAGTGGACTCTAACTTGTTTGTAACTGAGGAAGTGCCTTGTCCTCTGCATTTAATAATCAGAGGCCTTCAGGCCATACCCTGTAGAGGAAGGACAATCCATGACAAGCTAGTTCAGTGGGCGCCAAGTGGCCCCTCAGCACATATGTCTCTCCTGAAATCCCCAACTAGAAAAGGGAACAGAATAGAGCAGTGTGCCCAGGGAAGGGTTGGCTTGTGACTCTGCAGGCTACAGACATTAAATATTATCCAAAAAAAATAACTCTCTAGTCCAGCGTGGAGTGGGAGGCCTGTGGAAACTACTCAGAAAAGCACTGGTCTAAAGCAAATAGACAGTGGCATAGGTTTTACTGAAACAGTCGACTGTATCCTGGGTTGCTGGTAGGATTAGTAAAAAACATTCAGAAGTCATGGTTAAGTAAAGAAGAGCTGCTACCATGAGGAGAAAGCTTACAGCAGGTATACCTCGGCTTCATGACAAGGGGTGGTATTTTTCCAGACCTGCAGAAAGCTGAATTCAGTAATACTGAACAGAACAAGACTCTATATTATGCATAATGACTAAAATACTCAATATGTGTAATGACTAAATACTCACATGTTCAGCAAAAATCACAAGTGCTTGCTGTTCCTCTGCTAATTCAAATATGAAGTCAGAGTTCTGAGCAAAAGTCCAGATGTCACCTTCATTGCCAGTGTAGAAAAAGATGGGCCCAAATCCTTTCTTCCAGAATTTTGCTGAGCAAGACATTTGACAGAAACAAATTAAAGAAACCCAAACAAAAACAAACAAACAAAACCCCACATGAGCATGAAATGACTTTACTTTTGGTGAGTTTGGGCAGCAACTTAACAAGGAAGAATTCTGTGAACAGGCCGATCCCTGAGATGTGAGCTGGGGAATAAAGGTGTTAGAAAGGCCAAGCTACAAAAATCTCTCAGCACATCACCTGGAACTTCCACTTCTGCCTGAAAATCCCTAAAATCTCAGTTCTGCAAGGCATTTGGAAATAGCTGCCTCCTAAAAGAGCGATTTCCCATCTATATACCCTTTTCAGTCCAACTCATCCCAAAACATTTGCACAGATCACTTTTCCCACAAAATGGGTATTAGGGAATTGCCTGCATCTTACAGCTGCTACTGCTGTGATGTATAATGTAGAGCCAAGCTGTAAATCACATATCGTTTGGGCTGGTTTGGGTTGGAAGGGACCTTCAAGGATCATCCAGTTCAACTCTGCTCCTGTAGTCAGGGACATCCTCCACTAGATCAGACTGCATCCAGTCTGACTTTGAACGCTTCCAGGGATGGGACATTCACAGCTTCTCTGGGCAACCTGGTCCACCATCCTCACAATACAAAATTTCTTTCTTATGTCCAATCCAAATCCACCGTCTTTCAGTTTAAAAACATAGTCCCTTGTCCTGTCACTACAGTAAAAATCTCTCTCCATCTCTCTTATAAGCCCTCTTTATATACTGAAATGCCAATAAGGTCTCCCCGGAGCCTTCTCTTCTCCAGGCTGAACCCCCCAACCCTCCCAGCCTGTCCCCATGGCACAGGGACTCCAGCCCTCGGACCATCTTCATGGCCTCCTCTGGACTCGCTCCAACAGGTCCGTGTCCTCCTTATGTTGGGGGCCCCAGAGCTGGAGACAGAACTGCAGGTGGGGTGTCACCAGACTGGAGTAGAGGGGAGAATCCCCTCCTTTGTCCTGCTGGCCATGCTGCTTTGGATGCAGCCCGGGATTTGCTGTTGCTGATAGGCAGATATGTATGTAACACATATATTTCTTATTATACATTATGTATATATGAAGATATACGAAGGTGATGCACTTCATCCTCTCATCTGTTTATAACTGAAGGCAAATTGAGACTGCCAGGACAAGCTGACCCATGATGTCAACATTTGCTTGTCTAACAAAGAGTTGCTTTAATGCCTGCTGACTGTAACAAGCTTTTTTTAAGGTTTTTGCTTGCCCTTAAATTGCACAGGAATTTAATTAATAAACAGCCTACCTTAACAACAGACCTCAGATCGTCAGTTAAGACTTGGTTTTAACACACTGTCACATCACCCAAAGCGACCTTCCAACAACAGTTGTCTTACGGATGCCGCTGCAGTTTGTCACACAAGGCCGTTACCAATAACAGAGGCCTGAATTTAATTCTTGGCATTCTCAACACAGCCTTTTCAAAGCAGGATTTGGCTTAGAAATGGGTTTTAAACCTTTCTTTAACGAAACGGCTGCTCTTTGTTAACAGAGTCTGATTCTCTTTCTGTGTTGAATGTATCGGGTAGGAAACTGAAGTGCTACCTTTAGTCTGGCTTTTCTTCTGATACACTTCGTGGCTCTTGGAGTAAACAACCATTCACGGGAGCCAAAATGAAACCAGACAGGTTGCTTAAAAAGGTATCTATTTTTAGACTGAGATCCTGGGGAACTGCCAGCTAACCTCAAGATAGTCAGATGCCTGGTTGTGAAATAATAATCTCCTTCAAGTCCTTGCTGATAATCTAAAATGTCTCATATTGCATAAGATGCAGTAGAGGGGAAAGGAACTCCTCGCAGGAACTTTGAGTAAGAAACTATTTGTAAACCAGCAGAACTGCAATGCCACTGTTTTGCTTCTCCCAAGTATTATTCAGCTCTGCCCAGGATACACAGGTAAAACATAACTATTTTAAAAGAAAACAAATTAAAAAGTTATGCAATGCTTTAAACCATGTGATCCCAAAGTTCTGGTCAAAAAGGGCCACTTAATTAGTGAAATTTCGGCCTTGGGTGTGCTATCAAAATTCACTGGCAGCATTCTTGTATCTTTGGGCTGAACTGATCAAAGAACTCATGCTTGGTGAAACACATACTGCTGGATGTAGGTGCTGAGCAAGCTGCAGAGTGACAGGGGATGTGAAGAAGGTGAGATGCTGCATACAAAGCCCCAGATGCAGGAAGTCTGTGAGGCAGTAGCAGGCAGGTGCCAGGCTGGGCAGTGCTGTCTGGAAGCAGCACTCAGGGCTGGTGCTATTCAGAGCTCCACCTTTGTCCTCTCCCTTATTCCTCCAAGCAAGCAGGATTGAAAAACACGTGATGGCGGCTACTGAAATTGCTGTCATTTAGTCACACATGGTTTAGAAAAGCCTCCTCTGTCAGACTGTCTGTTGCACAGAAAATAAGTCATTATTTGGCCAGAAAGGAAGACACTGTCGGCTCCTTGCTGGAAGCCCTCATTGTTCAGCATGGCTTCTGCTATCTAAAGCTGCAGGGTTTTAAATAATGCAGAACACTGACTCTAGAGAGAGTCACCATCACTGGTAAGAACGATGGGTACAAAGTACAACGTTTTGGGTCACTGTTTGTTTTTCCTACTTCATTCAGAGCACCGAGTTGCACCTGTAAGTGATGCTGTGGCAAACTGCAGACATGCACACAGCCAGTCCTGGTGCAAGGCTAACGCAGCTCCTGCATGAAGTCAACTCTTGCTCTGGACAAGCCAGTCCCCACACCTCATGGCGAGAATGACAAATTAAAGGACAGGAGAGCACAGCACAGCTCTCAGCACCAAACGGAGAGGCTCTGCCTCAGTGCTGGAATGGTTAAAGCTTACATAGACAGAAATTCAGCCCTGTGCCATAGCAAGACCCTGCCATGGCCATGCCGTGGCTGGGAGCAGCTCGGCTGCAGCACACCCCCCTGCAACCTACCTGAGATCAGGTACCGCTGCGGGAAGGTCTCGTTGCCACTGGTCTCGAAGCTGAAGTGGTCCCGCACCTGCTGGAAGAGCCGCTCCTCCAGGCCAGGCCCCGCTCTCCGGGCAGCTGGAGGAGGCACCGTCAGCGCCGGGAATACGGCAACCGCCGCCGCCGCCCGGCCCGGC